CGGTACGGGACCGAGCCGACCTCGATTGAGGCGCCGGCGGGTGGACCACGACGGGGCCCATGAAATAATAGGGCCTCCGTCTTATCCAGGGCCACCCGCAAACCCAACGCCTCAATGCGCCCGACCACCAGGGAAACTCCCGTGGCGGCCAGGCGCGCCGCCTCCTGGAAGTTAGCCCCCCGGGCTGTGAGCAAGGTGTCATCCGCGTAGCAGATTACACCCAGCCCGGGGGGGAGACGCCCTCGTAGGGCCCAGTCGTACCCGATGTTCCACAGGAGAGGTCCTAGGACAGACCCCTACGGAACACCGCACGACATGGCCCTGCGTCTCAAGACGCCATCTCGGTCCTCGTACATGACGGTTCGCTCCTCAAGATAGTCTGCCACCAGCCGCCTCAGGTACTCCGGCACTCCGTGGTAGCGGAGCGCTTCCCTGATGCAGCTGAATGGCAGACTATTGAAGGCGTTGGCGATGTCCAAGGACACCGCCAACACCACTCCGCCGCAGCTCACGGCCTCCTCGGTCACGGCCCTAAGGCGCATTCCGGCATCGATCGTCGAACGCCCCTCTCGGAAACCGAATTGGGCGTCCGACAGATCGGGGCCAACCTCGCAAAGGTGCCGGACGATGCGGGCAGAGAGCACCCTCTCAAAAAGTTTGCCCGCCTCGTCCAGCAACACGATAGGCCTATAGGCCGCGACCGATTCGGCAGGCCGTCCCGGCTTCTGCAGCAGGACCAGCTTCCCGCATTTCCAGCGCTCAGGGAAGCGTCCGGACGCCAGGCTAGCGTCCAACACCCCCCTGAGGTGGTCCGACATGTAGTCGAGGGCTCGGGCCATCACTCGGGCTGGAACCCCGTCCGGCCCGGGGGCGGTGTTCTTGGATCGAATCCGTAGAACAGCCGCCCCCAACTCCGATTCCCTGACGGGCGGAACATCAACCTCGCTGCCCCCGTCGTCTTCGGCTGATGCAGCCATCGACGGGGGTGTGTGCTCCGCCCGCTGCGGGAATAGGCCCTCGACCACTTCCTGCAGGAAACTGGGCTGGAGAGTCTCCGTAAGGGGGGGGCCCGACGTGCGGAGCTTTTGAAGCACCGCACGATAAGGGCGACCCCAGGGGTCACGCTCGAGACTCTCCAGCATCTCCTCTCTACACGCATCCTTGGCGCGGCAGATGGCCGGCCTCAGAGTTTTCCGAGCTTCTCGGTACTCCTCATGAAGCCGGTCCACCTCCTCACCGACCCCGCGGTGACGTCGCCGACTGCGGGTGAGGGAAGAGTGGGTCCCGCCGCGGATGGCAGCATCGAGCCAGGTGCCGGCAGACGAAGGGGCAATACCTTCCGTGGACGACGCCGAGTTAGGGGCCGCGATACTGGCACTCTGGTCCAGGAATCGCGCCCCAGGCCCGGACGGCGTACCTGGGAAGGTTATTGCCACTGTCATGCCTGCACTAGAGGAGGAGACGCTGTCCCTCATGTCGGAGTGCCTGGCGTCGGGAAGAGTCCCGCGACGATGGAAGACCGGCAAGCTCGTGCTTCTTAAGAAGCACGGGCGACCGGCCGAGTCTTTAATCGACGCTCGCTGCTGCACGACGACTTTAATCGTGTGGCCAGTTCGGCTTCCATCGCGGGAGGTCGACAATCGACGCAGTATCCCGACTGCGGGACAGCGTCGACGAAGCGGTCTCTGGGGGTGAGGTGGTGTTGGCCGTGTCGCTGGATATAGCCAACGCCTTCAACACCCTCCCCTGGGAGACCATTGCGGAGGCGCTGAGGTACCACAATGTCCCGTGGTACCTCAGGCGCGTCCTTGCGGACTACTTCGTGGACCGGGTCATCATCTACCCTGCCCAAAGTGGGGTGGTCCGCAGGCAGCGGACGGAGTAGGAAAACAATATAATTTAATCGTGTGTACAGAACCACACAGCCATACATTTCATACCTTTTAACATTTTGCTTGTTTAATTGTTGTAACTCGGATACACGCCTACCTTTAGACACAATTTTAATCTTTTCACTGAATGAAAATTGTGAGAACTTTTAATTTTTAATATACACATTTTTAAACACATACCTCACAATCAAATAACATTTTAAAAAAATCAACGGAACTCAGTAATAAACTATTAAATGGACACACTTTCAAATGTTAAAATGAAAAATAAATTAGTAAACAATGCTTATCACATGAAAAAAAAATGGCCCCCGCGAACACGGCCACACGGCGGCAACGAACATTTCGGATTACTCCCGACAACTGCCGAACTAACTTCAGTAGCCTGTGGCTGGAGGCAGAGAAATAAAATAAATGGGTGTGTGCGTTTGCGACCTGTGCACGGACACCAAAATTACTACACACATGCCAACAAATGTCCTGCGGGACGCGACGGCATGAGTTGGTTGGTCAGGTACAGCGCCGCTTGCTTGTCGGTAAACGCCTGGCAAACGTAATGTTTGTGTGCTTGCAAATAGGTGCTATTTTTAAATAATAGGCGTTTTTAAGTTATTATATTTTGTTTATTCATTTATTTACTATTAATTGAAGTCATCTAAAACGTACGAACGTTTTATTAAAATGTCTGTGAATAGCAAGTAAAGAACTGCATTTTTGCCTACAAGTAGCGCACGCCCCTGTCCGCAGGGACGTCTTGTGGTGTTCCACAGGGGTCGGTCCTTGGGCCGCTCCTGTGGAACGTAGGATACGATTGGGTCCTGCGCGGTGCTAATCTACGGGGAGTCGGCGTACTCTGTTACGCCGACGATACCCTAGTCACCGCGCGGGCCCCAACATTCCGCGACGCCGCCGTACTTGCCACGGCAGGCGTCGCCCATGTAGTGCGTCCCATCGCGCAGCGGGCTGCACGGGCGTACCACACCGTCTCCTACGAGGCGGCGTGTCTGATTGCGGGCAGTATCCCCTGGGATCTCGAGGCCGGCGTCCTCAAGAGAGTGTACGCCGAGGGCGCCCTGATGCGACGTGTTCTCGGAGGTCGGCCGCTTCCGGAGGAGATCGATCGCTGGAGACAGTTAGCTCGTGATGATCTCTTCCGGAAATGGGCCGAAAGGTTAGAGGCGACCCGTAGCGGCTCGCTGCTCGTGGGCGCCGTTCGGCCCGTCCTGCGTCAGTGGGTAGAGAGGGTCATGGGGCTCCGACATACCACCTCACTCAACTCCTCACGGGTCATGGCTGTTTTGCCAAGTACCTGTGGGAGGTGGTGGGGTCGGAGTCGGAGCCCCGGTGCCGTAACTGCACCAGCGGCGACCCTGACACGGCCTATCATACCATGGCCGTGTGTGAGGCGTGGGACGAACAAAGGACGGCCCTCACGAGCACCGTTGGTGCGGACCTATCGCTGTCGGCCGTAATGCCAGCTATGGCCGGCAGCGAACAGTGTTGGGCTGCCGTCGCCTCGTTCGCTAACGAGGTGATGGCGGCCAAGAGAGAGGCTCTGCGGGAGCGGGAGCGAGCTGAACTCACACTCCCGCCCCGCAGGCCCCCGGCGATCGGACGCTGGCGAGGACTATTCGCCCGCGTCCCTGAATGATAGTGGCCACGGGCGGTGGGTCGGGGGACCTGCCGCCCATGCTAATGTGGCGGAATGTGCCCCTCTGTGTTCCTGGGGTGGATTCTTGAGGAGGACAGGGCCCACCATCTGGGTACGGTGGCCCGGATGGTGGGCCTGGGCGACAGTCGCGGCTCCCGCCCCGGTCCCACAGAACGTGACATAGAGCGATGTGGCGGTTAGGCCAAAGGCGCCTAAACCGGTCCCTGCACGGTCGGCTGCCCCGACCGCTGCCACTCCAGCGGCGCCAGCCACCAAGAAGAACCACCGGTCGGTCACCCTCACGCTGCAGCCGGGCGCAGCGGAGCAGGGCGTGACCTACGGCTGCAATGAGAACCCGGCGCTGCGGCGCCCAAGCCGGGCAAATTGCCAGCGTGTGCTGAGCCGAGTCCTCACTGCAATCGCAGTGGTGACAGGCGGGACTCAATTATCTCCTAGAAGAATGTGGTCGCGGGTGGACGGGACTGGTTTTCCCCTCCACCCGCATAACGGCCAGCCGCGAGGAGGCTACGTCCGGCCGGACGTCTCCGAAAACCCCGGTGGGCTGACGGCCCGAGGAGATTTCCACACGTAAAAAAAAAGGGGATAGGATGGCGGCCTAATTGCATTAAGACGAAAGTGTTTTTTCCCCTGGGGCTTGATATAACATGGTCCAGGTCCTCCCAGAGCACCTGAGGCCGATGCAAGGGATTTTACAAGCTGTCAAAAAAAAAAAACAGGGCCGAGCTATCGACATTGCCTTTGACAATTTTCAAAAGTGTCACTACATCAGACACAGCTCGTCTATTCTTTAAGGGTAGAAAATGATACCTCCTACATCTTGTTTCATAACCAAGGTAATGATCTCAGAAAGGATAAAACTTCAGCATCAAACTAGAGTTTGAAGTGTTCACTACAATTAGTGTAAGTTTCTTGCTGATATTTTATAGTAGTAGTATAGTAACACTTCTTTACGCACGGAACGCTTGACTCGGGGAGTAAGTTGGTGAATGCATGACAAAAAGTGTGATCAAGTGAGGCGAACGGAAGTCGAGAGAGAGATATAAGTTAGTGAAGATAGGCAAAGTTACGTTTCTTATATGACTGAAGAGACAAGAGAGAGAGATGCGAGCACACATTTTCTTTCTCTCTTTCTGTCATAGCCCAAAAGTTTTACTTCAGTCTTGTGGTCTAAAGCACACTCGTTTTTTTTTACGTAGGAAGGAGTAGTTTGAGGTTTGAAGGTCGTATCGGTCCGGAAATAACGCAGACGAGTTACATTTTACATTAAATCGCGTTTAAGGCACAAATCTGAACGGCCATCACTACATCATCCGCATAGTTGCTTATAGGTAGTGGTAGGGAGTATTTAAAACATGAAGAAATAAAATGCCTGAGTTTTATATAAATGTATTTATATCTGCAAGGGCTCAATAGTGGTCGAGAGTGGTTGGGCTCCGCTAGGAGCGTAGGTAGTGTCGCGGCGTGTACATCCGCGTGAGGTCGCGCTCGCTCATGGTCGGAACGCGCGGCTTCAGCTCGGGGATGATGGCGCAGCCCAGCACCGACAGACCGTTACGTGCCCTGCCAATTAACAACACTGTTATCATTAGATCTGGCACAACGAGCACATATTTACTAGAATAACAGTCGTAATCATACTAACAAAGCATGTCGCAAACATAGTTGCAAAACCAAGGTTTTATAGACCGATGGAACTTGTGGTTACCCCTTCTTACTGTTCATGCCTACTGCAAGCAACAATGATCTCGCAATTTCGCATTTCTCTCAAGTATTGAGTTCGATTGTTTCATGATTTCTGGTGACTTAAACCTAGTGTTTGGTTAATGTTGGTAAATAAAAACTTTTTTCGTGGTTCTGTTTGCAGAATATGTCGAGTATGAGAGCTGAGACGGTGTATAGCTGTGGTGCGGAGCGGGCGCGTGTACCTGATCGGCGCGTCCTCGTTGTCGGGCAGCCAGCAGTGCAGGGAGTACCCTCGACGCGTCTGAAACAACCGCCTTCTAGGTGTAAATATGCTTGCCAACTCGCCACTACGAGCACTCGAGCGAACGTCCCAGTGTCACTGCTACTGCTAAACCGAGGCAAGGCATGACCTCGCCCGCGAACTTAGCAATTAGGTACTAGTTTTAAATTTCCCAGGCATAACGCTTTAGTGTTTGTTAGATAGGTCGGGATGGAATACTACTGACTGCTTTAATGGTCTAGTGGATAGTGATATTGACTGATAAGGAAGAGGTCGTGGTTCAACTCCCTTCAAGAAGAAATTTTATTCTGGTTTTCATAGCTCGAGGTGTGCCCAATGTGGGATCATACGGCCATCCAGGCCGTTAGGGAAAGAAATGGGTTTCACCCACATTGGAGTGCGGGTACGAGCCACGTGCCAGTGCTAGGATATGACCATTCCTGCACATCCACTTCCATGCTCCGGCATGGTGACTAAGGTTGTGTATAAATAAACTTGTAATTACGATTGTGTGTATGTGTGTGCACAGTCAAGTGCCGCACATCGGCACACACTTGTACCTTGACGGAGCTCCTGAGTCTAGTGCGTGACGCCCGGTACGTCTCTACGTCGGGCAGCTGTGCGCTCGACTTCCTCGAACTCTTTGATGCAAGAATTGAAGAATCTGCAAATGTAAAAAAGAATCAACAGAAAGAGAATATTATTAGTATATGAATAGTCCTTGTCGCGCCATCTATACCATATTTCCCCTCATTGGATTGGTTATTCCAAGAAGTGAGAAGCAATACGATGTGCCAATGGCCCATTCAAGTATGGGTTAGCGGATGGATGACGATTTATCAGTTCTCGCTGTCATCTCACCCTCTTCGTGACTCGTGACGCGTCGCTAATCGTTTGCAGTTCCCAAATAATTCGCGAATCAACAGCTGTGTGACTATGCCATTCACGGCATAGTGCCCCTTCAGGATTGAATACAGCAGACACAAGAAAGAAATGTTGTACTGCCTAATATTTCTGCCAAAGTAGATTAATTTGACATACGAACAAATCCCTACAAATATCAGTACTGTAAAGATTTTGAACTTATCTTATTAATTTAATTCTAACGCTATTGTGACATGTACCGACTGGCTCAGAAAACGCCAGGTCGTTGTTCTATTTAATATGTTGACTTGTCTTGTCGTGGTACTAAATCGTGCAGATCAATGAAGTGAAACAAGAAATTCGACTGCCAGGCAATGTCTAGATGTTGTAAGCAAGGTATCGTTGGTGAGAGAGGTGCCACCGCGTTGACACTAGTGCGCGCTTACCGAGTGCCTCCTTCTTCATGGTGAGTGTAAGTTTGCCATCAGACCGCGCGAGGCGGCCGGGAGCCGCGGGCGGCGGCAGGGGCGGCGCGCGTGACACGCGCTCGGTGCGCGCCGAGCACGAACACGCCGCGCAGTGGCTACACGTACAATCCTGAATAGATCAACATCTAAATATATAAAAGAAAGTAGTGTTAGTTACACTATTTATAACCCAAGAACGGCTGAACCGATTTAGCTTAAAACCAGGAGACGGACATAGGATACTTTTTATCCCATTCCCCTTGAAACGAAATAACGAAAATAAAACGAAAAATTTATCAGACGATCAAATATTTGACGACAAAGCCGTAATGCAACTAGAATTTGAAATATTGCAAATGAAAGGACTGAAGAATAAGAAATTGCACGTGAAGAGCGCCGCGTTAGTATGGCCCGAATTCGTGCTTCTCAATCACAAGAGTAAAGTCGGTTGGCGAAATCGTCGAGCAAACTTCAGAGAGTTACAACTAGATAATTTTCGATGCATGCAATTACTGATTTGAATAGAGCAGTGTTTCGATACGGTTGCAACACTGATTACTGCTTGCATACCAGAATTCGGATTCTGCCAATGGATGTTGATTGCGAGTATTGAGGCCGGAGAAACGCCAGGATTGTGCTACCTTAGTGGGAAAGTGAAATTGCTATTATTGACTACAATAACACGAAGACGCTAATTGGTATCAGATGTAATAAATTAAAATAAAACATAAAAGTTTAGACAAAAGTATGTGACGTTCGAACAGAAAAGGTAATATTTTGGTTACCTGACAGGCTTGTGTCGTGGCGTGCAGCGGTGCGTCGCGCTCGTGAGGGAAGCGTAGGCGCATCTCGACGTCTGCAGGGAGCGCGGCGCGGCACGACCCAGCCACCGTCACCGACCAAGCGCCTGCCGAAAGGAGCACACTTCACATACTTGCGTGCTCTTTCAGTACTTTTAAATGGCGATTATATTTTCTGTCACCTATGTTTAGAATTGTAACTAATCTGAGATACCCTATTTATAATATCTATTCTTATGAAATATTATATGTATATATTTTAATCAAAACGGTGTCTAAATATAAATTGATGATATTAATGTAAAAATGTATTTTTAATTTTAATTTGACTGATGTATTTTTAATTTTTACTGATGTATTTTTAATTTGACTGCACGGACGGCGTAGTGGTTTAAACGGTCGCCACGCCGTTTCCTACTACGCCGAGTGTTGTGGGTTCAAACCCCACATGGAAAAACACATTGTGTGATCCACATTATGATTGACAAGATCATACCCCCCCCCCCCCCCCATTAAATGGCTACGATTACACATGGGACAAAATCACAGTGAACGGTGATTTATCATTCATTTTTTTCGTACGTACCTCGGTTAGGGTAATACTACTTCCCCTGGGGTCGACCTTACCGCGCGGTGCGACAAACGCTCCGCGCGTCGGCCCCCCCACGCTCCCCCGTCGATGGCCTCCTTGGCTAGAGGCAGACTATTTAGAGGAGCGCACCGTCGTGTACGAGTACTGAGATGGTAATTTAAGGAGTCAGCCCATGTCGTGCGGTGTTACACAGGGGTCTGTTCTTGGACCCCTTCTTTGGAACATAGGGTACGACTGGGCCCTTCGAGCTGATTTCCCCCCTGGGCTGGGTGTAATCTGTTACGCCGATGACACTTTGGTCACAGCCCGAGGGGCGAACTTTTAAGAGGCGGCGCGTCTGGCCACTTCCACCAGACGGGGGCCCTCTTATTTAGAGTTAGAGTCGTACGTCGTTACCGCACTGTGTCGACGGTTTCGACTTTCCTTCCGGCTGACGCAGGTTTTTTCCGGGCACGGCTGCTTTGGAACGTACCTGCACTCAGTCGCTAGGAGGGAATTGAGTCCCGCCTGTCACCACTGATTGCAGTGAGGACTCGGTTCAGCATACGATAACAATTTGCACGGCCTGGTCGGGTCCTCAGTGCAGTGATTAGAGGGGATCTCTCGCTACCGGCCGTCATACCATTGATATAATACTTACACGTCATACGCTCCATGGCCAATAGTGACAGATATTTTACCGTGATCGCAGGTGACAGATAGAGCCTGGGAGGACAACCTCCACTCGGACCCAATTCGTCGCCGGCGAACCGGGCGGCGGAGGCGCGCTTTACACCGGCTCATGCCGCCCTGAGAGCAGTCGCGGGTGGACGGGACGGGTTTTCCCCTCCACCCGCCATAACGGCAAGCCGCGGGGAGGCGACCTTCGCGTGTGTCGGACGTCGCCTAAATGGAGAATGTATCCGAAGATGGTGGCGGGCAACACCATTGCTGGCAGGCGCTTGGAAAGGTCCGGATGTCTTAACAATAGCAATTTCCGGATCTCTTCTATTACAGGCGCAGAGTGGCACACCATCTGGTTTTAGTCGGTCCAATTCTGACACACCACCCCGCTGCATACCCCGGTGGGGTGACGGCCCGAGGGGGTTTCAAACAAGGGTGGGATTGCCACGAATAGATATTTACTTAATATGTTGCTAATCACATCTGATTCTTAATAAATGGTCTTAGAGAAGTTTAATAAAAACTGACTACAGTCATCGACTATTTTAAGTTAGTTAATGTTATATAAGTCATAAGGTCATGGGAGGTCCCCTCTCTAGACTGGCGTCACTTGTTGTTCAACAGAGGTCAAGTCTGCCAGGCTTCACAGGAATTTCCTCTTTAGGCTAAAAATGAGTCCCCTTTAAAAGGGTCTCTGTTCCGTCACTGTAAGATTTCAGTCTGTTCGGATCAAACATCAATGTTGCCGCCATTTGACATTAGTTTTCACTACAAATAAAGCAATTTAAGAAAATACATAATCATACTAGTTTTTTTTGACACTTTGCGGGGAACATGAACGGTTTACGTACACTTTGGTTATATTTGGAGCTGATGTGTGCACTGTGCACTTGAACTTGCTAATGAAAAAGTACCTGTGTAAGAATCTCTTCATACTGTATTTACGTAACTAGTACTACGAGAAGATTTTTTGCTCAAGCACACTCACAACTGCATAGCTTGCAAAATACAGTAGTGTACAGTTCACTACACCTTACAGCTATCATGATCACCAACCACTAGACCGACCGGCCAGTCAAACTGTATTAAAATTATATAATTTTATTTATTTCAATTATTTCCTCTTTCTAAACTAGTATATACTATGCGGTACCTGAAATGATATGTCACCTGGTGCATCTTTGGGCTCATGTGCTTGTGCGGTGGAAGAGTCGGGAGCCGCGGAAAGGTCTGCGGGGTCGGCGTGCGGAGCGGCTCGGCGCCGCGCAGCTCTCCGCGCCCGAGCCGGCGCCGGCGCGAGCCAGCGGGGTGCGAGCGGACACAGCAGGCTGCTGCCAGACTCGCTGCTGTCACTCGACGTGACACCTAAAACACCTTCCGAGTTCCCGCCACCTTTAAAATCCGGCAATTTGACTGGATGAATCGTCTCCTCCTCGCTACGTTCCAGTGAAACAATTTCAGTTTTAAGTTTTTCTCTACTTTCGTTCTTTTCTTTCCGGATATGTTCTTCAGGTGATGTGGTCTGTAGGTTGTCAATGTTATCGTATGATTGCGAGCGCGCGACGGGCGGTCTGCGAGGAGGTTGCACGACCACCCGCTCGCGGCGGTCGGCGCGCACGGCTCGCTTGTGTCGCTCGCCGCGGTCTCTCCGCTCGGCGTGTGCGGCGGCCACCGTCCGTCTTGCCTCACACTGCGTGGTCACCGAACGGCGCAATGGCAACTTTGCAGGCTCGGCGTTCTTCTCCGTCACACCTTCGCGTAAATAAAACGACCGTTTAAATATTTCAACCTTTTATTGGCCACAAACTCTTTTACATAAATGCCTTCTATGCCTAGCTAGTATAACAAATAAATAATTTTACAACAACGGGTGCCCCTCATAAATTGTCTACAGTACATTACATTAGCCAAATGCTCACCGGTGACTCCGGCGCATAACTAAATCGTGATATAGGACACGTGTAGGTCGGCACTGAACGACATTGAGAGAGAAAAATATCGGCCTCTTTTCCGAGTCAAATTGTGTCCCAGGTAGTGTAATCGGGTGACAAGATCGCTAGAATGGTGTACTAAGAGTAAGCGTCAGTGCGTGCGGCCGCTGGACTGGCAGGGGGCAAGCGGAGGTGCGGTGCAGCAGCGGGGTGCGCACGTGCCCGTCGGCCGTGGGATAGCGATACCTTCCGCGGAGAGGCGAGACGAAGCGGCCCAGCCGCGGCCACGGGCCATGGGCACGCCCGGCGAGGCGCGCATCGGAGATGTGGCAGCTGACTTGCTGTTCGGTGACGTCATGGTTGTCTGATGTTTGGAGCGCAGGCGTCGCTTGTCGGCGTCGACGTCGTTCATAGGGGAGGTGGCAGCGCACTTATTATTTTTAGTCATCAACTGCGCCTCATTGGTCGGTTGCGAGTGCCTTATTTTGTCGTCTGGTAGTTCTACTCTAAGGGGAGATGGTGCTGGCGGTATGTCCTCGCATTCGCGTTCAGATGGTTCTTCGACTCGATATTCGTCGATGATGTCGGGCGCAGAAGCGCGCCGGTTATGAGAGACATCTTCGGTTGCAGAATCTAAACTGATGCTGCTACGCTCCTCGGGGATAATGTCGAACACTTGACGGAAACGCAGAGAGTTGACACGCTCACGAGGTTCGTGGGACGCCGGCACGGAGGCACGGCGCGGTGGCGGCGAGCCTTCGTGTTCTACAAGCGCCCCTAGCAACATGTCGGTGATCAGTCTGTTCGTGTTTTCGTTCCGTTCCGCGCCGCGCGTTACTTCTAACCATTGCCTATTATTGTTTCTTTTAAAGTCGCCGTTATTTGGCGGTCTTTGCAGCCGCTCGGAGATCGGGACAGGAATGCGTGACTTTTTATGTTTCGTGCATTGATTTTGATTTTCATCGGAGTTAGTATTGTCCGGTGAGCTTTGCGAGCCATTCACATATTCCAGTATTTCGAGGATCTCTATGCATTTGTTGCCTTCGTGTATCTCTGACTTCTGATATATTCGCTTGGACGTACGGTCATCTATTCCGTTCTTCGGTCGCAGTGATAATTTGCCATGGATTTGATGCCGTTCACCCTGCTCCTCCATTTTTTTCTCCTTGGTGTCGAATCGGACGCAACCGTTTTTTATAGCCTTAAAGGGCTCCCGGTCGTAGATAGGTTCTACTTCCTTCTTCCAGGTGCGCTTGGATACATTAATATCAGTTTTGGCAGGAAGTACTCTAATGGGCCGATGCTTGATACGCATGCACCTGTACTCATCCTGTGCGATTTTAGCAATGACGTCATCAATGAGCGCGTTCACGATGGCGATGCAGTCGCGCTCAACTTCACGTTGTGAGCGATAGGTTTCTCGGTGCATGGCGCGATCACGCTCTATTTCGCGGCGCTGTTGCCTGTTGCGTGTGCGCCGCGCGCACTCCATGCGAAGTTCTCTCTTACGATGTCGGCGATAGAGTCGCTGCTTTATTTTTTCAGGCATGCGATCAGCAACATTAATGTTCTCCTTGTCGCAGTCACATCCGTTGTCTTTTATGCCTATGAAGAAAGATTCGGGCTTTTCCCTCGGTGTAATGTCGTTGCAAGCATTTTCAGGTAAAAGATCGAGAACATCTATGGCGGATCGTACCAGCTCGCCCCTTCTATTACTAAAAGCCTTCCGTAAGAGAACAGATCGTGGAGAATTTGGATCGTCGAGGCTGTCAACAAGGCTAGTGCAGTCAGACCCGATGACATCGGCATCCTCTGAGGAGGAGGTATTAACCTCCATGGAGTCTGTGTGTGGAAGGGCAGAGAAACGCGGCACAACCGGATTATCGGAAGTGTCCAGATAATAATTGCAAGCACCCACACTACTGATTACCTCGTACTGGCAGGGTTCGTGGCTAGCTGAAGACCGTTCGTCTTGCGCCGCAAGCTCCGCCTCTGCGTTATTAAGAAATACGTCGACGTCAGATATCTCAATATGCGAGATCTCAGGCATATTCTGGCAGTTGGCTGTTGCTGCACCGTTTAACTCGTCCTGGAATAGTTTCTGTATCTGTTGTAAAACGGCCTGGTTCACGTTGTCGTGGTGTATGTCGAAGGATTCGCAGGGACAACGCTCCGCTGAGTCCGGCACATTGTTATTGGACTCGACGCTCTCCTCCTCGCGAATTGTAATAGCATTGTTGCATGAATCGCGACTCCCGACTTTGTTGCACAACTCTTCGTTGCCGAAGATGATCTGATTGTTTGACGTTGGACTCAAATGCACTATTGTGTTTACTCCTGTGTTCTGTAACTTAACTTTAATCTCTTTCTCAACGATGCTTATTTTCCTGTCACTCCCGATTGTAGCGCTCATGCATTCCAGTTGATCTGACAATGAGTTCAGACTCTCTACCAGAATATTTGAGACATACTCGTCAATATTTATATTTTGTGCCCTCCTTGGCGCATGCGGTGGCGCATTTTGAGTATTGGAAGATCGCTTATTATCTGTTGGCACTGGCGCGTTAATAGTAGGCACTGAGTTCGTGTTCAAAGATTCTGAAACGACGATTTCCAAAACCTCATACGAAGGCGCAGTCTCTATGGCGAGTGGTTCATGATATTGAAATAAGTTGTGATCGCCGCGTTTACTAATGCTTTCATTGCCATGCTCGTTATGGTTCAAGTCCACAGGCCTCGAGCGTACGCTCGCTAATGCATCTTTAGCAGTACATAACGATGCGGTGAACGTATCGGATGAACTACTGACCGACTGCTCGTCACTAATATGGCGTACATGCGTCTGCGATTGCAATAGTTCACTGTTCACGTACGTGTCATCAACGAACTTTATTTCTTGAGTGGCCGTGTCGGAGCAATGCCGCTCCGAATACTGTGTATATACGTCTTTCCCTGGAGTCCCAGATCGATCGTCGCACTTTGACGCATCGCTGTCTGTAAAAGGGTCCATTAATGTCTCTCGGTGACCCGCATGCGAGCGGTATGTAGAATCAGAGAGGTCGGCGCGTGCGGCACGGTCGCGCGACTCTTCCGCGCGGTCATAACTGTTGCGCATAGCAGCGCGAAGCATCTCGTCACTGCCCCGAAAATCACGTGTTTCAAGACGTTGACGTTTTGGTGTAGCCCAGCCGGCGACTGCTTGCGAATAGCGTGACGAAGTGAGCCCACTCGATAAATGGCGTAGCTCGGAGCGGGAGCCGTCTAGCGAACGCGTTTCACGACTACAAGGTGCAGGTTCCTCGCTGCAACAACAGCAACCGCGGCAGTCAGCTCGACCCCACATGCGCCGCAGTAGTGCTGACTTGCGCATCAACTCGCGGTCGCGCCGTGCGAACCTATGCGCGGCATCAGCCGGCGTCGGAGACGCAGACGCCGCTGAGCGGCTGGTGGCAGGCACGCTCTCTTCCGAATCCGATCTTTGTTGCGCCAACCGATACCTGCAACATGCACAACGAACTTGTCAACAAGTGTTTCGGTAATTCTAAATTTATTAGCTAATGTTAAAAATGCGTGTGAATAAGTGAAAGTTTCTTTGATTGCTTGTATGTTACACTTTCACACGTTAACTACCCTACCGATCACCATGAAAGTTATAAATACATATAAGTACATATTTTATAAACGGCTGCACGGGTTATAAAAAAATAAAAAAGGGGTTCAGAAAAAGTGGTGTAACTGTTCTCTAGGGATACTTTAATGAGTTGTACGTCGACGCAAGTGAGTATGGCAGGAGAGTCATTATCTGAGATTAATCTCAATTATTTGGTTTTGAAATCTAATTTTTTATCTTTGACTGGTCTGGTGAGGATTCAAATAGATGTGGCGAGGACTCCATTTAGGACGTGCCCTGACATTCCACTCTCGGTCGGTTCTCTCTCTCTCCTTCAAAAGTATAAAAGGACATAAAGTACGTGGGCGCAAGACTTTGTGTTGTAGAGTCCAGCTAATTTTATTTTGAGAAGTGTTAATATAAATTTGTGTTGTGTACGAGTAGTGTGTGTGAAACTGAGTGCATTATCAGTCTTATAATTTTATTGGGTTATTGGTATCAACATCCATAATGCCGTGAGTGACCTTCACAGCCACGGAAAATCCATCAAAACACATCTTTACCCTTACGGACAAAGCGAGGTATAGAATCAATCGTCTATCTCCTACAGGCTGCCGGTATAAAAATTACGAGACAACCTATGTGACTACTTTTTCAAGGAGCGATACGAACTGCCGGGCCCGAAGCTAGTCGAGCATTTCCGAAATAAACACGTGAATAAAACCGTATTTTATTAAATTGATTTTAAAAAGCAAGTGAGTAAGTCATTAGTAGGTAATAAGAATGTAAAGTTCGCCGTCTACAGTTCAGCGACTCATGTTAACAATGGTGTTCTAATTCGGCATTATTTTATTGTATTTATTTTGCTCCAAAATTGCATGTCTGTATTTTCGTACATCTTTAACTTTAACCGACGTATATTGAACCGTGTTATCTGTTATTAAGTTTTTGTGATTAGCTATAGGACAGGCTGTAAAAGTAACAAGTATAACATACTTTCTCATGATGGTCTCGGGCACGGAGTAGCGGCGGCGCAGGAGGCCGGGCGAGGCGCCGGGCCGCGCCAGCTCCGCGAGAGGCGCGTGCTCCATGGGCGCGCGCGCGGGCCGCCCGCACGTCGCTCGCGTGGCGCGCACTGCTCGACTAGACACACAAACGTTACATGTTAATTGTTGCACATGAACAAGAACGCCCGGTTTTTTGGAAAACTTACAAGCTTAATGCTGAAATTGATATGATTGATAATGAAGCTTTTTGATACATTTTCTTTTTTTTTTTTTTTAAGTCAACTCCCGCATTAGGAATATATCCTGTGTCGCGGGGTAGGTACTTTACAAACATACATGATACGGACACAAAGAACACCCAGACTCAGAACAACAATTTGTGCATCACACAAAGTGTCGTCCCATGTGGGGTTTGAACCCACAACACTCGGCGCAGTAGGAAGCGGCGTGGCGACCGCTTTAACCACTACGCCATCCGTGCAGTCAAATTGTATGTATTTATTCGCTCGTGGCCGGTAATCATGGCGCGAAAATCTACCAAATGTTATTTTCTGTTTGTTTGTATGGTTAAATTAAACCCTAAAGGTTTTGTCATTGGACCATTTAAAATCAAATTCATAAGTGAATGAATTTATTGAAACACCTACCACTTGTTTTAACTCAATGCCTACCACAGATTTGTTGAAGTATTGTTGTTGAGTATAAAATGACATTTTGTATTCAAAGATATTGAAAGATTCCTTTGTTTGTCACGACAGTCAAGAAATATACGCCATGTTATGTATTGAATTATTTAGATTTACCAACAATTGGAAACAATAAAAAATATGGTTTAACAAACGAAAAAAAACGCTTTTGTAGCTAGCCGAAATAGAAAGTACGATTTTTTTTGTATTAACATGTATTTAATTTAATTGATTAACTTCAAATTTTTATTTATAGAAAACTATGAGGAACTTTCAAACAGAAGTTTTACGATGACGTTTATAAAAATGAGCTGTAAACGTTTGATTAAAAAAACGAGTATGTCCGATTTGAAGATCTTGTGATACACTGAGCGCGCCTGCACCGACTTAAACTAACTGACTTGTTTGTAAGGAATGCACCGAGAATAGAAGACAAATCGCACAAACATAGACGGGGACCGGGGCCCCGCCGCGCCGCCCGCGCTTAAGCGTCCACTGCCAATTGACACAGAACTCTATTGTCGCCGCCATGTGATTTTATTTTTCATACGTAGGCCAGTATAATTAAAAAAGTGGCTGGATGAAATTCCTAACATAGCAACATATATTTTCGACTGTGTTTATAGATAAGGAACGTCCCTATGAAATACCTCCAATTTGAATGTGTCGGAACATATTTATTTTAGTTTAAAAACCCCGTCATTTATTTCTTGTTTATAACAAATTTATATATAATAGTAATGACGTGCATACAGTAGTTGTCACTATTGCATCATGCTCCCGAATTAAAAAAAAAGATCAAATTCGTATAAAAATGAGCAAGATACATCATTTATTTTACACTCGATTCAATCGAATTTGAAGTCGCTCGATCGAAAACGTACAAAAGGGAAAATCTAGGCAGCTCCGGTGAACTTATTTAAAACATGACTTGTAAACGTTGAAAAAAGACAATGTTAATCATCACATTTTGCAAAGCAGTTTGCGGAATTATAAAGTTTAAGTCTTGAACTAGCTCCCTGCCAATTTTAAATGTTTCTGTTACTTAATAAACCAATGGCATAATAAACATGAAACAAAATTATCTTGGCCTGTAATTATTTTAAAACAATGTACTTTAAATAATCAAATTTTAAATTTTTCGGCAATATGTATATTTTTGATATTTCCGGTGGCAGATTAACTGTTACCTATTATATCGTCTACAAGGCTTTTTTTTTTTTTTTTACAATTGTAGAAATTGGTGGTTTCAAACTATGGTTTCAAAAATAAAGCCCTGGAACTTCTTGCTTCATACATATCTATGTTATAGGATTCAAAAAGTTGATATTAATGGTGAGCGGTCTCCAGGCTCTGTGGTAGAAATGGGCGTTCTACATGGTTCTATTCTCGGCCTTTTTTGTTTTTAGTATATACTAACGACTTACCTCACCTTGTCAAGGACAATCTCGAGATTGTGTTGTTTGCAGATGATACATCACTATTATTTAGACTAAAACGGACTGATTTCACATTCGTAAAAAGCGCCATTACGCCCATTCCGAAAGTGGTTCATTGGTTTGACGGAATGGTTTGTTGAAACGGGCGGTTGTAGATCGGCACAGGCATATCATAGATTTTGTATGGGTTTGATTTGTGTTAAATTTATTTGCTTACTATTTGACAAAACAGAGATTGTTGCTTTTGTGGAATATATATTGTTGTTAATATATATGTTGCATATGGAAATATGGATAACTTGTGGTTTATTCAAAATATTAAGTCATATTTGCTAATAATTTGATACTAGGATTTGTCTTATTTAAGTAACTTGAGCTGATATTGAACTGGACGAGTTATGTTCCTAAACAATCTATGTAATGTACAACAGCTATCACGGCCCGCGACAGTTTACGTGAGCCCACTCGGACCACCATTCACAAGTCACGTCATCTAAGTCCTAGTGCATTAAGATAAATGATAAAACCGTACTGGCTATGAGCCGGGCCGAGTGCTGCCAAAGTGCGGACACCTCAATTAAGATAACATTTTTATTGATGTGTAACGCATACGCATACTATTAATATTGTAACAGTACGGCTATACAGGAAGGGACATAATGGTATGAATAGAAAATCGGGCGATTTGTCAACAACAAAACGACAGTCCTTTAAAAATACAAATTAAGGAAAGCTAAAAGGGTGATCAATTTCCACATATTGATACTTTTATATAAGGTGTGTTATAGAATTCATATTTGTGTGGTGTACATATGCAGCGACAATCGTGGCAGTCCGTTAATGGTACAACTGAACACTTTTTCAAACAATCTTAGTGACTTAGTTCTTAGGAACCCTACAGACAAATTTATTGTCTTGGGAGATTTCAACCAACCTAATATTGTTTGGCAGCCAGCCGCCGACAGTTGTTCATTGGAACCGAGTAACCTACAAGGTGACATTCAGACTTTTCTCGTGGACTCTTTTAACATCTGCAGCCTTTCACAATATAATAGTCACAGTAATAATAATAATAGGATACTGGACCTGGTATTGTCAAATAATGAGGTATGCGTCTCGCGATGCACTGACCCGCTCGTGCCAGAAGACCCGCATCATAATGCGTTATGTATCACCGCTAACTTTGTTGAGCTGCACAGCCTATCTTCTCGTCCGTATCGTAAGTACTTCTATCATTTGGGTGACTATGTCACGATGCAAGCTGAATTAAATCATGTTGATTGGCACCGCGAACTGAGCTCTGGATCACTTGAGGACGCCACCACATACTTCTATGACACCATCAATCGACTGCGTAACGTCCACATCCCAAGTAAGATCACTAAACCTTATGTTAAATACCCACCTTGGTACAAAATCCCGCTGATCAAAATGATAAACGAAAAAGCCAAATACCATTCAAAATTCAAAAAATATTGTAACATCTCTGATTATCACTCCTTTGTAAAATTACGTCAACGGGTCAAAGAATTCGAGAACCAATTATTTATAAAGTATATATCTAACATCGAAAACAATATTCAGAAAAATCCACGAGCCTTCTGGCGTTATGTTAAGTCTAAACGACTATCAATTCAATATCCAACTGTGATGCAATTCGGTCAGCATTCAACTAGTGATGGTGAGGAGATATGCGATATGTTCAATGAATATTTCTATTCCAACTTCTCAACAAGCCCTCACGACAGCTCTTCGCGGAACAGTGAGCAGAACATTGAACAGGTCGCCTCATGTATTACATCCATCGAAGTCAGCAGGGATGAACTTTATAATTTATTAAAACATGTGGATACTAATAAGTCGGCTGGGCCGGACGACATCTCGCCTGTATTGATTATGGGTTGTGCCAATAGCCTCGTCATCCCTCTCTCTATTCTATATAGGCGGTCTCTTGATACCGGCGTGATGTCTACAATCTGGAAGTCGGTGTATATAACACCGATACATAAAAAGGGACCTAAAAATATGATTGAAAACTACAGACCCATCTCGAAGCTGTGTGTGTTCGCAAAGATTTTAGAAAAAATCGTATACAGACAAGTCTACGCTGCCCTCAAACTTGGTTTTGGTGAACACCAACACGGCTTTCTAAGGGGTCGTTCTACCACATCTAATCTTATAGTGTGTTGTGACTTTGTTTCTAAATTCATGTCACAAGGGTCACAGGTCGATGTTATATACACCGATTTCAGTAAATGTTTCGATAGAATAGATCACACAATCTTAATGCGTAAACTTTTGAGTATGGGTGTCGGCGGCAATTTGTTTCGATGGTTTACATCGTACGTGGAAAACAGATGTCAGACTGTTGTACTTAATGGTTATACGTCTAGAAGAACACTTACAAATATTCCTTCGGGCGTCCCGCAAGGATCGCTGTTGGGACCTCTGTTATTTAATATATTCATCAACGATATAGATAACTGCTTCCTAACCTCAAAAATTATTCTTTATGCTGATGACTTGAAAGTAATGAAACAGATAAATAGGGTCCAGGACGCCATAGAACTACAGGAAGATCTCAATAGATTTCAGGCGTACTGCAAAACGAATAAACTGGATTTAAATGTCAATAAATGTTACGTGTGCTCCTTTACACGTAAACATAGCCCAATATTTCAGGTTTACAAATTATTAGATACCCCATTGTCTAGAGTCAGTAACATTAAAGACCTTGGTGTTACTTTTGACTCGAAACTACTGTTTGATACACACATTTATAACATTGTTAGCAAAGCCTCCAAAGCATTGGGATTCCTACTCAGAGTTTCAGCAGACTTTAAAAATATTAAAACAATAAAAATACTTTATTGTTCCCTAGTTCGCAGTCACTTAGAATACTGTTCTCAAGTGTGGAATCCAATGTATAACGTCTATATTGATAGAATAGAGCGCATTCAGAGAAGGTTTTTAGGATATATACAGTATCGTTGTAGTTGCTATTTACCTGA